CTAAGAAACGCCCGAAAAACTCTGAAAACCACCCCAAAAAAATCAAACCCCCCCCAAAACCGAGGACGGGATCCCCAAAAAAACACCAGAAGAGGAGGGGGGAGAGGGGTGAGGGAGGGTTCCCCAAAATTTTTTGGGGAATTTTGAGAGGGATTTTGAGGGTCTGGGGGGATTTGAGGAGGATTTTGAGGTTTTGGGGAGATTTTGGGGTCCCGAGGGGAATTTTTGGAGTTCTGTTTGCGATTTGGGGGATCTGAGGGGGATTTTGGGGGTCCCGAGAGGGATTTTTGGGGGTCCCCACCTCGTACTGGTCGTAGGCGAACATGGACGCCCACCACTCGCGCATCTCGGGGTTGGTGAAATCAGGGTACGCCGAGGAGCCTGGAGAACCCAAAAACACCTCAAAATATGCCAAAAACACCCAAAAATCCCTTAAAACCACCCAAAATACCCTAAAACCACCCTGAAATACCCCAAAACCACCTCAGAATACCCCCAAAACCACCTCAGAATCACCCAAAACCACCTCAGAATAACCTAAAACCAGTTCAAAATACTCAAAATAAATAAATAATAAATAATAATAACAATAAAATACCCCAAAGTAATAATAAATTACCCAAAATCCTCTAAAACCACCCGAAATACCCTAAAACCACCCCAGAATACCCCAAAATCACCTCAAAATGCTCCAAAATCACCTCAAAAACACCTCAAAATACTCCAAATTACCCCAAAATACCCCAAAACCGCCCTAAAACCACCTCAAAATACCCCAAATCACACCAAACCACCCCAAAATATGCCAAAAGCCACTGCAAAACCACCCCAAAATACCCCCAAAATCATGCCAAAATCCCCCAAAACACCACGAATCCCACAAAATCCCACAAAATATCCCAAAATTCCCTAAAACTCCACAAAATGCCCCAAAATCCTCTCACCAGGCCAGCACCAGCCCTTGCAGTCACCGCCGTCCTTGGTTTTGACAAAGAGGCCCCAAAACACCACGGCCCCAAATCCCTCTAAAACCCCCCAAAATATCCCAGAATAACCCCAAATTCACTAAAATCCCCCAAAATCCCCCAAAATATCCCAAAATGCCCCAAAACCCCCTCACCAGGCCAGCACCAGCCCTCGTAGTCGCCGCCGTCCTTGGTTTTGACGAAGAGGCCGCAAAACACCCCGGCCCCAAATCCCTCTAAAACCCCCCAAAATCCCTTAAAATCACCACAAAAAACCCCAAAACACCACAAAATCCCCTAAAATAACCCAAAATTCCCTAAAACTCCACAAAATAACCCAAAATCCTCTCACCAGGCCAGCACCAGCCCTCGTAGTCGCCGCCGTCCTTGGTTTTGACGAAGAGGCCGCGCGCCCTCAGCTCGGCGTGGACCCGGTACCCCCCGTCCACCTTGATGTGTGGATCCACGATGCTGACCATCTGTGGGGCAAATCCCAAATTCCTGAATTTCCAAAATCCTGAATTTCCAAATTCCCAAAATCCCAAATTCCTGAATTCCCGAATTCCTGAATCCCAAAATTCCCAAAATCCCCATTCCCAAATCCACCTTGATGTGCGGGTCCACGATGCTGACCATCTGCGGGGGCAAATCCCAAATTCCTGAATTCCCAAATTCCTGAATTCCCAAAATCCTGAAATCCTGAATTCCTGAATCTCAAAATTCCCAAATTCTTGAATCCCTGAATTCCCTGATTTTCACCCCATTCCCATTCTCACCCTGCGTTTCCTGGCCGCCAGTCTCTCCAGAATTTCCCGAGGTTTTGGGAATTTTGCGGGATCCCAGGTGAACCCATCCCAATCCCATT